TTTATTTATTTATTTATTTATTTATTTATTTATTTATTTATTTATTTTTGCTCGGTTAGCCTCTTTAAAAAAAAATTAATTTTAAGCTCATCTGTCTTTAAACTCAATCCATGTGAACTGACAATGGGCGAACTGGCTATCGGGCGAAATGAGTGGTTACCGTAGTTACCCTCGAGAAGGGTGAGGAGAAAGGGGAATGGGCGGGATGGGCAGGATGGGGACTGGGGAGAGGACTGCTTAGAGTAAGAATATGCTGCTAGGTTTTCTAGCTAGGCTTCTGAATCTACACGCAATGTTTTCTGTAGTACCCCACAAGAAAGCGCATTGTAAGGAAATTATTCACTTTCTTCCAGACCTTGTTCAAAGCAGTTTTGGCAACGATAGAAAACGGAGGCAAACCTGTTCAGGTTAATGCATCCACTACTCTCGGTTACACCAAGGAACAGGCAGAGGCCATTCACAGGCTTAAAACAGCCAAGGATAACTACGAGAGACTCGGTCTGACAACCGGGGCAAGCAGGTAAGATGAGTTACGTTCCGTAGTGTTTATAGCTATCCAACCTTTTTTGGAGGCTACGGCCGCATAGCGGGCGAGTTTGATCGACCCAAACCACCATTCGGGACACCAAACAAACCCGATATTCCGCCGAAACGTACCAAGAAAAGGTACGATAACTGTAGGTATTTACCGTACCCGAATTTGGCCAAGTAACAATGCTATGATAGACTAATCAGGCCAGTGATTTGATATCGCAGGATATCAGGACAGTAGACACGGTTTGTGATTGACTAATTGCAAATTTGGCTGTGGTAAGGTAAGAAGTTGAAAACAGAACGAACAGTGGAGTTAAGTTTTGACAAACCTTGACCTACACAATAGGGCAATTAAAATCTGTGGGCCAACACGACGTTCGTGTATAACGTGTCAATCCTAACTGATTTACACGTCGCACTTTACTTGTACATAGATACGGTACATTCAAAGTTTCACGTTTGAATCGGGCCTGAGATTCTCAAATAGGGAATCGATTTTGCCCATTTTGGGCATAGAAATGACTGATTGTACTGTATATGTACATAAATTTGAAGATGTTACTATGGTAGTCACGGGCTTTTGATATTTGTTGTCATATACTGTCCTATATTTATGTTTTTATTTTTGTGTATATCCTATTATTGTGTATTCTATGTTAGGTAATAGCATCAGGGCTCCTATTGATAGGAGAGATGCTTTGTAAGCTCCCTGAAGGGATTACCCTAAAAGTTTTACCCTGAAAATTTCACCTTTTAATTAAAAGTGTCTATCTATCTATCTTTCTTGCTAGGCGTTGTGAAGTAGTGTAATTACTGACTTACACACGAGATTTTAAGAGGCACTGACATTACTTCGTTACGTTTTTCAGGGATGACATAAACCGTGCTTATCGAAAGCTGGCCATTCTTATTCATCCAGACAAGAGCTTAGCTCCAGGTACAGAGGAGGCGTTCAAAGCCTTAGTAAACGCTCGTTCGGCGCTCTTACAATCCCACAGATAGCGCTAACAACGACAACAGTGTCGTCATTGATGAGGTCATCACCGGAAACAGCGACGTTGTAAATGACGTCACCGAAGAAGGTCGATGCAGAAAATTGTCGTCAATGATGTTATTACAGAGAATGTTGTCATCACTGATGTTTGTTTCCTCCTTGTACAATGTATACTGACTTCGGGCACCTTGCGGTCACTTTTTTTCTACTTTTTTCACAAAATTTCGTTACTAGTGCCATCAGTCACTACAGGTCAGATGCATGCAGGATCCCTTTTGGGCGATTGGTGGGACGAACGCTTGAGTGCAAGTTCAATTAAAGCATTTGGTCAGCATTGATCTTTCACTGTCACATAGTAGTTTTTCCAACGAGTTAATTGAATGATAGTGAGCTCTTTTAGAAAAAATCTGAACTTTACACGATAAAAATCATTGGAATGTTATAAAGACTCCTGAAAAAAATCAGTCTCCATCCGTATCTTTACTTTGTCTTGTTTTACTCGAGGAAAAGACCGTAACTTTGTCTTTAACTTGTAAATAATCAAAAGAGTATTGTTTTTAATTTATATTAATTTTAGTCTCAACTATTTCCTCTCGTGCAAGGTCCTGTAGTTGGCACCATCAATGCTGTTTAGTGTCGGTTTGGGCGTTTTCCATTCGACCGTGACTTTTGAAAAAGAAAAAATTCGGAATTCGGAAAATTCGGACAGTTCGGGAGCAAAATACAATGCAAAAGAAATTTAGACAGTTGAAAATAATTGCTTAAAAGCCCCTAAAAAGAGATAATAGTTGACAAACTCCCAAGTCAAATTGGACCGGGACCTGTTGGACCAATTTTGACACCCTTTGGAATGTTCTTTAACCAGTTACAAATTTGGCCAGTATGTACTCCATTACACGAATCAGGAATTGATTTTTCTTTTAACAAGAGCAGTGACGAAACGAAAGAGAATGTCCCCTTGGTATTGTTGGTTGTCGCATCAAAGTTCCCCGCAGTACAAAATAAACCAGGTGTGTTTTTAATGCTCTTTTTATTCCACCTTCTAAAATCCGTTGAGTTCGTATTCCAAATTACCCGTTAGATTTTACATCAAGTGACATCTTGAACATTTCCTCGTGACTACTCTATCATTATGAAACGTATCCCAAGGTCTTGACATAATAAACAACTCGATAGAAACACAGAACTAGCAAGAGCTGTTTACGTAATGATGGTGCGAGCAAAGAGAATTTACATTTTGATGATCAAGATAAACAGGTTGCCTTCTGCTTTGGCTGCGGTATTTTCTGAAAGAAACACGTGTTCTCTGTGTTTCTATCGAGTTTTAGTATAAATCCACTAACGTTCTATCATGAATGCCGTGCTCTGATTGGCTTCGCTACTCACTATCTATTCTGTGATAGTGAGTAGCGTAGAAGTATGCCCTTGTTAACAAAATGATGGCCGCTTATTGGCGTTTTCGAAGTGTCTGTGAACAGGATTTACACAACGTTTTGAACGACTAGTAGATTTATAATGGAATAAATGGTATTCGCTCTCGATTTCTATGCGTGATAGTTGACGAGGGCGCTGCCCTCGTCAACTGTCACAAGATAGAAATCTCTAGCTCATAATCTAATTGTTTAATAGAAACTCGTGTTCCCACGGTATTTCTGTTTTCCCCCAAACTTCCACTAGTGTTTCTATTTAACAAATAGATTCGATTTTGCCGTGTGTCTGTTCAGTAATAGATCACACAGTAATAGATAGCACCCCATTGAGCCAAAAGAAACCTGGACGTTGCCTTGAATATAAGAGAAGTTGAAAAGTCACTGTGGTTGACATCTACATTCGAGCTTTGAATGAAAGGCGCGTTACTTACGGTGGCAGTTTGTGTCCTCAGTGGTTGGTGATTCTCAAGTACATTTGAGATAGTGTCGGAGACAGTTTCTAACTGTGATACAGACGACGGCCTTAATCTGTAGTAAGCTAAAATTTGCTCGCTGTTGTGCCCTGAAACAATCTGGAACATGTGTTGTGCGTGGTGTTTTGTTTCTTTTTTTAAATAAATGAATCTCCTAAACATTTTGTTTATTGGTTTTGCTAAATTCAAAGCAAGGCCGTGTTTTCCTGATTCGAAATACTAATTTCAAGACCCATTTTGTGTGTTGTTCAGTCTCGCTCGACTGAGTCGACTGTTCGAGTATTTTTTTCCTAGTCTTTTTCTATAAAGAAACGAGCTTTGCTTTATTCTTCCTGCTTATTGCACCTATTTATAGCCTCGACAAGACATTTTTCTACATTAATTTTCCTTCGCCCAGTCGCGTAGAATATTATCTAAATTCTCAAAACTTTCCGCCATTTAAAAGAATCAGAGGGGAAAAGTTTGTAGTATTGACGTCATCTATGCGTTTGTCCTCTATTGGATCATAGGTGAGAACCAATCAAAACGCGAGTTTAATTTGACTAATTATATAAAATTTGATCGAAACACGGTACATGTTTTCTTTTTCTTAAGTAGTACTATTAATAAAATTATTGGCCATGGGCCGGAATGACGATGGGAAAATTCAAACGAAAGACGCTTTAATAAGGCTCATTTGGTACATGAAAGGTGCTCTTTTTTTCTTTTTGTCGCTTGATGAGATCCCAGCGAGAAAGGAAAAATTGTCCTGGTAGTATGAGAGTAAATAAATGTCACCTAACCGGTCGTCAAGGTGTTAACAACGTATGAACAACCAGCACTGCAGCAGAAGAAAAACCGTTTGACTGACACCTAGCCCTTTTTAGTTTTCCTTAGCCTCATAACCAGGGAGACCACTGTCCGAAAGGCAGGGGGAATGAGATTTGCGTATATAGCACAGTAACTAAGAAGCATAGAGGTTTATTAAGGCCATATCTACCAGGAAGTTAGTACACTTCATATATAGTACTACACCTAAAGCTGTAACTTAAACTGGCCGAAAATCGATCTCACAATGCATTACAAACACTTTCTTTCAAAGCTCCAAAAAAATGTAACGTTAACAGCAGGGTTATTAAGCAATGAAGAATGCAATCGAGGACCCTATGAGTACGTTAAGGGCCGCTTTCATCATTTGTTTTAGTATAAGTATTAACAGACCATTTTACATTTCAGGCGAATCAAAAGAGCCTCCGCATAAAAACGCAGCACAAAGGGATCACATAAACAAATAAAGAAAGATCGGCGATAAATCTCAAGCAGTTTAAGACCCACGTACAGAGGCTCGATCTAGGCAACATCCTAGATGAATGTAGTGGTTGCCATCTTCGTAAGTCACAATTTTAATTTCTCTTATAGGACTTTTCTATATATTATTTTTAGATAGTTCTAGTTAGGATTCTCCACTGCTAGATGGAATTGACACGATAATAAAGTCATTATTATTATTGCCATTATTATTATTATTATTATTATTATTATTATTATTAAGAGACAAAAGCAAGTTAGAAAGAAATAGTTAGTACATGCGTCATTACTTCATTCATATGCAAAGCTCGTAATATGTTGAAAAAGAGTGATAGCGCTATATCATCAGAGAAGATATAGCTCTACAAAAGTAAAAGGTAAGAAAAAAAAAACTCAAAAATAAACACAAGTACAAGCGTTCCCCTGCACAAGCGCGCTAGCACTGTGTAGTATCAAAGTGAATAATCAGGTAAAGACCTCAGTTTACTTTAAATACATACAATTAAAGCGGTATTAATTTGAGTGTCGTAAAATCAAAACCAAAGGATCCACTAACCAATCTGACGGACTGGACCAATCTCGGCCAGTAGCAAAAAAAGTAAACAAAGCCAAAGTATCAACATGATTAATTTCAACACTCAATTGAAAACCGCTCTATTACTATTAATAACAATTACTTTCGTTTATACCGAAACTACTTCGGACGTTAACGAAGTGCTTACGTATTCGATTTGTCAATATAGAAACCATAAAAGTATGAACTACCCATGAAAATGATTGTAAAGCGTTCTTGGAGTGCTAACTCACAAAAACAATTTAAATGAGTGCAAGTTGTTTATCCATGAGCGCTACATTCTAGTGGGATTGATGCACTCGGTTGTCGACTCTCATTTTATCAGTTTAAATAAAACACCTCAACTTCATCAGGATGGAATGGGTAAACTCCAGCCAAGATGGTCGTGCGGTTGGTGACATTCTTTGGAAGAAAGTAATCGATGCCAAAGTTTGTAAT